TACCCTTTATTTTCAATCCCTCACTCTCTTTCTTAACACCCTCTGATCACGTCCTCATATTGATTCCTTCTTTGATCGACTCTTCTGTTGACAATCATGCGATTGTCTGGTATACTAGGGGAAAGACAATGCTGCTGTTCATTGGGTGCTCACTCTCACCCCCAAAGCCGGTTTTCTCACACGCCTTGGAATTTGGGGTTGTGAACTAGCCTTTAGCAAGACCTTATCAGTGAGAAGCTATGTGACCAAATTTGAAGGTATAGTTTGTGTTTCCTTCTGCCAATATTCAGAGATATTACCAACCCCAAGCAAGCTGTTAACTTTATTTGGGCTCCCCATGTCATGCAAACGGGGTAAAATTTGAACCCCAAACCCAAGTAAGGTCTCAGGGCAGAACTTTTCATTGCCATCAGGTCTCAGGGTGAGACGGATAAAGTTCTTTAGTTCTTCCCAGGCTTTGGGGTAGATTTCTTCCTAGTCTGTTCTTTTACTGAACACGCCACCCTTTAAGGGCCCCAGTTTTGGTTGTTGTTGTTAGGGGTGCCGTTTTCCAATCCCCCGGCAGAGCCTCATCTCTAGGCCCTAGGTGGGTGTAAGCCTCACGCGCTCAGCCCGGGCGAACACAGGTCTTCAGCGTCCTCTTCAGGGTGGCTTCCAGGCGTCACACTCGTGTCTTACACACTCAGCTGATGTGCATTTGTTGTTCTGGGATTGATCATATACGGAAATGACAATATACGTTCCCCTTCTGCTCCCTCACTTCTTTCTCAGATTAAAAAAATGTTCTTCATATTAAAAAAAAAAAAGCAGACTTCTTTTGGTGTGGAAACCATTTTTCTTTCCCCCTTCTTTTTCTTATAAGATAGCGGTGTCATGTCATACTAATTGTGTTGAGCATGATGTCGTCCAAGTCTGTCCATCTCATGAAGTGCCAGACAGCCTCATCGCTGCGTCATAGTTCATTGTATGCTCGTACTAGAGCCCATTTAATCCTCGACAAGTGGGCATTTGGGTGGTTGTGTTAGTTCGGGTTGACTAGAGAAACAGATTGACAGATACTCTTATGTGTATAAGAAAGAGCTTTATATAAAATAGGAATTATATATTGAAAAATCCCAGCCCAGTCCAGATCAAGTCCATAAGTCCGGTATTAGTCCATATGTC